CTTTAATCAATGCATTCATGTCTGGTGTGTAACCATGGAAGATTTCTGTATCAAAGCCTCACAAATTTCCCTTTTATTAAGTGTTTTTTTTTTTCAATTGCAGACACACATACTACGTGCTCCCAGTATAATCTTTTGAATGATTGCTGTGTAATTGCCCGCTGCTTCTGTACTACTGGCAGTTTGTGGAGACATTCTTGTGCTAGGAAGTGTTTTTTCTTCCTGTATGCTGTTTTCTTGGTGCAATCACACTCTGCATTGAATGATTTTCATTAGTACCATGCTGTGTGTGTTGTTACAGTGCCTTGAATAAGTATTCAGACCCTTTTCATGGTGTCCCATTTTTGGAAGTTCCAAAATAACACACACATTTTGCAAGATTATTTTAGTCAAAACCTGAATGCTCAAACTGAAAACATAAGGTAAGGTAAGGTAAGATACTATAAGTCACAGAAAATGTCAGCAAAAACTTAAGATGAAAAAAAATGAAATATGTTGAATTATAATAATTAATAATTGCTTACACTTATATAGTGCTTTTCTGGACACTCCACTCAAAACGTTTTACAAATAATTTACAAATAATTAATAATTGCTTACACTTATATAGTGCTTTTCTGGACACTCCACTTAAAGTGTTTTACAAATAATTGGATGATGCGACGGCAGCCATAGTGCGCCAGAACGCTCACCACACATCAGCTATCATTGGGGAGGAGAGCAGAGTAATGAAGCCAATTCAAGATTAGGATTAGAAGGAGGTTGGTTGGTAAGGGCTAATGGGAAATGTGGCCAGGACCCCTACTCTTTTCAAGAAACACCTGGGATTTTTAATGACCACATAGAGTCAGGATGTTGGTTTCACATCTCATCCGAAGGACAGCACCTGTTTACAGTATAGTGTCCCCGTCACTATACTGGGGCGTTAGGACTCACATAGACCGCAGGGTGAGCGCCCTCTACTGGCCCCACTAACACCCCTTCCAGCAGCAACCTTAGTTTTTCCGAGGAGGTCTCCCATCCAGGTACTGACCAGGCTCACACCTGCTTGGTATCACTAGTTGTCAGTTGTGAGTTGCAGAGTGATATGGCTGCTGGATATGCATGAGTATTCAGATCATGGAACTCAATATTCATTGGAGGTAACTTTGACAGATGAATGGTTACTCAAAATGTGTTTTTCTGTTCTGTGTTCTGTGTATAGAAGAGGAAAAAACTGAGAAAAGGAACAAACAAAAATAGTAATTCCAAGGAAGGTTCCCCTAAACAGCTACAAAAAACCTTTTTGCAAAACCACACTGAGACAAAGACTAAAAGCTGCACCACAAGTGTCAGATAAAAGACACTTAAATCCATCTCTGGCTCCTTTTGATGGTCAGGAAGCCTTAATTTAATCCAGAGGTGAGATAGGCTCTGTAACCCTCTTATAACATGGAGGAACAAACAGATCAGGACAAGACTGTGAATAGGTCTATAACATGTAAGACAAATACGGAGGGTTTGGATGTCTTTAGACACATCTAGCATAAGGTTGTCTCCTCTGTGGCCTGGGGCATAGGTTTCTACCTGACATTGTCTGACCTCCCGAGCCTGGACTAACCCCCGTTTTGCCCCTATGCATAGGGTCTTTTTTGCTCTCCTGCCCATTCCAAGGCATTCCCTTCTGACATCCGTGACATTAACATATCTACAATAATTATACCAAAATGCAAAGAGGATGACTTGTACTCTAGGTGTACACCAGCCCTTTGTCATAACTTTGTATTTCACTGAGATGGACCATAGTGCCAGAGTAAACCTGACATTTTGTTTTTAATGAAATGTGGAATTCACATGAAATAGAGGCTGATTTGACAATAAATGTTAAATTATTATTGCCAGAAACCTTTTTGACTTCCAACTGGTTATACAATTCACAGGAAAGATACCAGTGCTACCTGTCACTTTGAACTGTTGTGAAGTGCATGGCAATTGAACCTTTTTAAAAACGATGTGGCACAGTTTCTTAAGTCTGTTGCTTCCCCAGAAGCATTGATAGGTCTCCCCCAGTTGCCCCTGTCTCTCCTTGGCTGCAGTCATTGCTAGTGTTGTTTTTCAGGAAGAGGTCACAGTAGTGGGTTATTTACAAACCGTAGTGGCTTCAAACTTTCCTGTCATTCCCAGGTAATTCTCATGCCCAACCCGACATCAGTAAAGTGCATCAGAGATTGTGTGATTGAATTGGAGATAGCCAGTAACTCAATTTAGCTTGCCTGGAAGGAGACAACTTTGACAGTGACATGGTTTATCATCTCACAGGTCATAGCCAGGTCAATATGATACACAAAGCAAAATAACACTAAAGTCCCAGTAAATGTGAGATCTTTAGATAAGGTGAAATGTGCAACAAACATTTCGTAGATTTTTTGACGACTGCATGAAGCATTGCAACAAAGCACACACCTCAATATAGAATTGCTCTAATTTACTGCTGTTTTTTTCTATTATTTATTTTACTGAACACGAAAACATAAAGTGAGTTTTTCTCAGTATATTCTTTTACTTCTCAGAAATAAATCTTGATGTTTAGATGTCTAAATCAACACTTGCTTTTTGTTTTTCTAAAAACATTTTATATTCTGACAATTACCTGTACTATGTACTTAAAATAACTGAACAATATTCCTTTTGTTATTTCACACAGCACAAAGTAAATTATAAATTAGTTGTCTCATAAATAATACTGTACTTTTCTATTGCATGTTTTATTTCTAATTTATAATTCTTTTCATTATTTAGAACCTAATTTTCAAGTCATTAACAGTAAATAAATGCATTAGTTTTGTATCAAGTTCAAGTTCAAGTTTATTTGTCATTCCAGCCATATGCAAGTAAACAGTGGAACAAAATATCATTCCTCCTGGTCCACGGTGCAAATACAGACAGGACAGACAGGAGACTGACATAAATATTGTATACAGGATACACATAGTGCAGATAGTGCAAATAACTAAGGCAAATGCATACTGCAATACAAAATACACAACACACCAGGAGGATTTAAACCCTGTTTCTGGAATTGGGGCGGGTGCAAGTAGATTCCAGGATGTTGAGGAGCCCGACAGCCTGCGGGAAGAAGTTACAGAGTCTGGTTGAGCTAGCCCGTATATTGTGGTTTCTTTTTCCAGATGGTAGAAGGGCAAAGAGTTTATGGCATGGGTAGGAGGGGTCATCTACTATACTGGAGGCCCTGTGTAAGCAATGTTTGTGATAGGTGACAGAAATGGAAGGAAGGGAGGCTCCAATGATCTTTTCAGCTGCTTCCACAAAATGTTGCAGGGTGTTGCGGTCTGAAGCGTTGCAATTCCCAAACCAAACAGTGATACAGCTGGTCAAGGTGCTCTCAATGGTGCTTCTGCAGAAAGTGGTAAGAATGGGTGGGGGAAGGTTTGCCCTCCTCAGTCACTGCAGGAAATAGAGACACTGCTGTGCTTTCTTGGCTAGAGAGGTGGTATTGAGGGGTCAAGTGAAGTCATCTGTAATGTGGACACCAAGAAACTTGGTGTTCCTAACTATCTCCACAGGGGAGCCGTTGATATGCAGTGGGGAGTGATAATATGATGATGATATAATATGACAGAAATTATTATCACATTATCTATCATATCATATCATCTACCTTACTGATGGGATTCCACCATCATACAGTATATAGAGAAAGGTGTACAAAGCGTACCATGTGTCAAATCAGATAATGAAGTCTCCCTGTAAGTGATGCCATTCATGGGCAAATTGGTGTTTGACCACTCTGCAGAATGAATGAACCTTTCTTCATTTTTAATTAATGTCATGAGTAAACACACTTCTTTGGAGATATATGATTTGACATATATGCTTTGAGAGCCATATGATTTGAAGTTCATGTCTACATCACTTCAGTTCTTCCCATTGTTTTTGCCTTATCTTACTTTAATTTAGCTGACAGCAACAGGTTCAGTTCTGTGTGTTTGTTTGCATGGGATTTTGCCAGGTGCTCCCATTTCTCCCATCAATACTAACATACTGGTAGGTTAATTGGCTTCTAAGAAAATTGTCCCAGGTGTGAGGGCATGTGTGTGTTTACATGACAGTATGTCTGTGAGAACCTGGTGATTGACTGGCATTCCATCCAAGGTGTATTCTGCTTTGCTCGCCGGGATAAGCTACAGCTATTCTGTGACCCTGTAACTGGATAAAGTGGTTAGAAAGTGGATGGGAGGATGCTGTTTGTCTTTAGCTGTTTGGAAAAAGACACCTATCGTACACTTTCTCTCTCCCTGCAATACAGAAATGGATGTCTGATGTTTATATAAACCACTGTGCTTGAGAGGAGAGAAACTAATAAAAACATGTGATATCACATCTGTCCCAGAGTTATGTGTGCCTGCCAAGCAGTCTATGCCAATACAAGATACTGTAATATAGTTCAAAAGCTAAATATCTGCAGTCTGTGCCAATACAAAATAATATATTTTAAAAGCAAAATATGCTTTCATTAAACCACAGGTACAAAAATACTTCATAATTTTTATTCATCTATATGCTTCTCTGTATTAAGGACAGACAAACTGAATAAATTGAGTTAATGGTCTGACTTTTGCTGGTAGCTTCCTCTGTATTTCAGTGGCATTCCAAGCCTGCAGTCAATGTCTGGATGCTAACCTGTTTGTGATTGTGTCTTAAATGCAGTGTTTCACTTGTTTGTGACAAATTGATTCTTTGTTTCATATTTTCCTTTCTTATTTAATTGTACCCCTCTTATTAATTCTCTGTTGGTTTGTCAATAAATCATAATATATGCCAGAGGGTATACTGTAGTATACTCTTATTTTTTCATTTTTTCAGTTTGTATACAGTATGTGTGTTTAACTCAGAGAGCAAAGTCTCACTGCCCAGTATAGCTCTTGCTCAGAGAGTTTATGTAAGAGGCTATCAGACAGTATGTCAATGTCTCAATCTCTGATCAAATGACTCTTTTTCAGGCACTCCATCCAGCAGCAGACAAACAAAGTCATCACTAGCACCAGCCACCTCATCAAACAGCTCTCTGACATCATCAGTGGCTCCTCCCGGGTACAGTTTGCCAATCAAGTTATACTATGCTCCTTTCACTAAATGCACACCTAAATGCACTGATCTGTCTGTCCATTTGTCCACTTTTTTTGTCTGTTATATGTACTGTCTTCTGTTAAAGTTCAGCAGTTGAACTTCACTCCTGAAAAATCAAGTACATTCACTGACCATTTAAAAAATATATATAGTTGAAAGTTTTGGTTGAGCTGTTCTGAGCCAGTGGAATAAGTGCAACTGGCTTTCTGTTAACAGCTTGTTTGACAGTGCTGTGGGCCACAGAGGGGGCAGATGCCGGTATCCTTGGCCAGGAATTGAGGGGGCACAGTGCCCAGCACTGTAACAGTTTTGTGCCTTGTGAAGCTGTTATTGTGCTTCTAGTCACCTACCTCCCTGTCATTAATCTAACTCTCAGTTAACACCTGTTTCAATAATTGTTTCATCTTGGAGAAACAAAATAATCTTGCAGCAATTTAAGACTTATGTTAAATTGAAATGGTCTCCTTTCAATATTCCCCTATCAATTTGGTGACACTTATTTGCATATCTTTGAAGTCTGAATTCCCCAAATTATAATAGTTTTTAATATTTTTTGTATTGCTGTTGTCTCTCCCCCTCTTGGTCCTGTGTTTCTCCTATTGCTTTGTTATTCCCTTTTTATTCCCAGAGCTGGCTGTGGTCTCAATGTTACGTGCAGTAACAACAATAAAATAAATAGTAGGGAAAGTAAATACACCAAAAAATTTTACAACAAAGCATTACATATTATGGGCTTCACCATGCAGTCTCAGTTTTCTAGTTATCCGATTTAACTGTAGATGCAATAGAAATTACAATAATTATGGCACCCGACCCCCTTTAGAGGAGCAGATCTAGAGTAAGGTATCAGTAAAAGTGCACTTTGTATGGACCTAATAAATATTTCCTGTCTGTCTACAGCAGGACAGGCTGAGACTAACCCGTCTGAAGAGTGAGTTCTCTGAGTCTGTCCAGCGTTATGGAGATCTACAGAAGGTAATGTTGCCAATGTGTTTTGCATGTTTTACTGTCTTCCTCTTGTTCCACTGAACTTTATGCAAGTTATTTATTACAGTTCCTTACTTCTTAGTCTGTCTAGTTTTTCAGTACTTTGGTCAAATTATAATAAAAAAAATGAATTGAATAATTCAAAGGGGTGCTATAACAGTGATGCTGGAGTCGAGGGAGGTGTGCTAAAAAGATACAAGCGGAATTGAGTGCCACCAGGGAATTTCCATCCATCCATCTACAGTATCTATCTATCTTTAACTGCTTTACCCAATGCAGGGTCTCTGGGAAGCTGGAGATTTTATTGACAAGCAACGGGCACAAGGCAGGATGCAGGACACCATGACAGGACAGGGCACACACAGACACACACATATAGTACTCACACCAGGGCCAATGTTACCAGAAGCCAATTAAACTACAAAGTATGTCTTTGGACTGTGACAGGAAACCAGAGCAATGGGAGGTCACCCACTTGAACACAGGGCGAACATGCAAACTTCACCTTGATAGCACCCCAGGAATTCAACCTAGGGCCCGTGCGCTGCAGCAGTGGCAATCACTGCACCACTGTGCCACCCAGGAAACTTTATACAACATTAGAATTCAACATCCTCCCAAACATCAGTGAAATAAACACCATTTCGAGAAAATTAAACATGAGTGTATATAATAAATGACTGAGAAAAGTAAGATTTTATGTAGTACACAAAGTGTAAATGATTAAGATGCTAAATTATCTGAACAGCTGAAGGACTGAAACAAATGTCCTGAAACTAATGCTTTTTTAATCATTTAAACCTTGTGTACAAAATAAAAACCCACCTATCAATATTGTCCATTGCTTCCTGGCCTTGACTGATGAGCTTTCTTTACATAAGGCGAATCCTAGTTGTTTCTGTTTATTATTGGATAGTTTTTGTGTTTGATTAATATGTTTTTGTAAATTTTCATCTGTATGCTTTGTGGAATCTGTTGCTTCCTTTATTGTTTGTTTTTTTACTCATTTTTTATTATGCATTTTGTGTACAGAGAGCAAATTTTATTTTATTTTTTCACTGACAATTTACTCCAGCGATTCTTTCTGCATCATAAGTTTTAATGACAAATGAAAGTTTAATATACTGTATTTTAAACCTTCTATTTGAATCATCCCCTAGGCAGTGCCTCTGTGATATATATTCCATATACAGTACATGAAACTGTCCACGAAGACCACCCAAACATAATTCACATTCAGATTTAAACTGATTGGCGTTGCAGAATTTTGGAATGATATAATTTAGTAGTTACAATATCCCACTTTCTCACCCGGAGCAGTGGTACTGTGGCTAAAGATGTGCGCCTGTGGCTGGAATGTTGCCAGTTCAAATCCTGTGGCTAGCAGAGGAATTCTACTCTGTTGGGCCCCTGAGCAAGGACCTTAACCCCAGGGGGGCTGTATAAATGGCTGGCCCTGTGCTCTGACCCTAAGCTTCTCTCTCCCTGTCTGTGTGTCTCATGGAGAGCAAGCTGGGGTATATGAAAAGACGAATTCCTAATGCAAGAAATTGTATATGGCCAATAAAGTGATCTTATCTTTCCTTTCTCTTTGCAGAAAATTGCAGACAGATCCCGGGCCTTGCTTCCTCCAGCACAAAAGGAAAGGACACAAGTGAGTATTTGGCCAGAACAACTGCATTCTGTATCAGGCACTCAGCAAAACAAGCTTTGAACTCAAATCAACAGGGGTCATACTGAAATTATGTGCTGCTATGGTGCAAAAGTTGAAAAATGTAATATTTCAATTTTGATTTGAAATATACTAAAAACAACTACAGTGCCCTTAAAATTGAATAAGCGTCCAAGGACAATATGTAATTTCTTTAGTTTGGAACAAAGGTGCCTTTGGGAAAATGTGACTACAGTTTTCAAAAGATCAGAATCCAAGAGAATGTAAGCAATGCTTATTTACACAGTAGAAGGTACAGTAGTTGAGAGGAAATTATACATCCATTTTTGTGATTCATGTTTCTTTTGGGATTTTCATAATAATCTGTCATTTTAACATTTTTTGTCACGTTAACCATTTTAATGTTAATACATTCCAGTGGTGTTTGGAATGCAAAGGTCTTGAATTACCCAAGCAAGGGACTCTTAATGCTTTTATAATGGTTGCTGCTAAGTAATCCCGAAACAGGACTGGATGGTCATTCCTTTTATCATTTTTTTAAATTATTGCTTTACTTATTATAATGAAATAGCTGCTTTGGGATGGTGGATATAGTTAAGTTGTTCTTTCATTTTCAGTTGCATCAGAAATTTGCTAATAGCATACATTTCTTGGTTCAGTTCCATGCTTATATAAAAATGATTTCTTTTCAGAACAAGTTACTGAGTTCTGACAATGAGTCCTTAAGTGAGTGTATGTGCACTAAGGCTCTTTGAAGTTGGTGGTTCAATTAACTGGAGAGCCTTTTAGTCTCAGATAGACACAAAGACCCTGATCTTCAAGCATTAATAGGCTTGTAAACACACTGAAGCCCTTTCAATATTGCACACCCACATGGATGGAATTTGTTTCAATAAATACATTGTATTGAGGATGTTGAAAGAAAGATTGAAAATGTTTTTGGATTGGGGTCTCCTCTTTAAAAGAGGCTCCCAACTTATTGCTACAGTTTCCAATACATAAAGTCATACTGTATAGAGCAATGTGCTGCACTCACACAATGGAAGTAAGACTCATTAACACAGTTTATGACTGAATGTTTGATTCACATTCACATTGAACCACATCTTCTTATTGCATATATACTTACAGTACTCTATAGTTTCCTTAGAAGCTCTTTTATTTTTTTAATTACTCATCTCAGCAATATTTGCACAGAACAGGAAAATAAAAAAAAGTTTCTCTTTCGGCACATTACCATTTTAATCTAGGGCTAATTCAATAAAATCCCTGGCTGTTCCCCCTGTGCCGACTATTCCTGCTGAAACGATGCAGTGTGCAGTTCAGCACCATGGATAGCAGCCCTGCAACAGCCTGACGGCTGGGCTTCTGCCTCTCGGCACAAAGCACTGTCTGCCTCAGAACTCTAACACAAATAGAGCTGATAGCTGCTGCTCATTGTGCACAGCCATGCACTGTTTGAGGACTGATATATCCCTGCCAAATGCTTACACACATGCTGAAGCGCTTAACCTGCCAAAGTTCTGCTGTGTCCTGTACTGTGAATAGCAAGACCCTTAAAGGTAACACTCAAGTGAGTCTCAAACAATCCTTATTTACTCAAAGTGATGAATTCTTAAAACTACTAATCAGAAAATGGACTACGATATGTACAAAATAGTTTGTTAACTTGTATACTACAAAGGAACAAAATAAATAAATGTAGAATAGTATCATTAATATCCCAGTGTTGCTCTATACTTGATGACATTAGTTATAATACTGGTACTGGTATAAACCTATTTCTCTGGGTTTTGCTTCATCCTTGTTCTTAATCACAGGCTATTTTTTTTCCATTTTCTATTTGAGGCCTTTTGTAATTTGCTCTCAACACTTTGGCTGAAAGAGATTTGTAATTGGTATGAGCCCTCTGCTATTCTTTGTGCTGAAGTAGTTGAAAATAATGCACTTTTAATAGGGCACTTTTGAAACCAAGGACTCACCGCAGAAAATCTTCATACCAGTTAACACATCAGTTACAGGCACTTAGTAGCTCTGGTGACTAAAGGCCCACTTGGAGCAAAATCCAGTAGACATAGGGTAATAATAATGTTGCTCTATTAGCCCTATACAATCTCTTGCATTAGGAATTTGTCTTTTCACATACCCCAGCTTGCTCTCCATGAGACACAGACACACTGACAGGGAGAGAGCCTGGAGTCAGAGCACAGGGTCAGCCATTGTGCAGCACCCCTAGAGCAGTTGGGGTTAAGGGCCTTGCTCAGGGGCCCAACAGAGTAGGATTCCTCTGCCAGCTACAGGATTTGAACCACCAACCTTCTAATCACAGGCATAGATCCTTAGCCACCGCTCCACAGGACCAGTACTATGAATCTTTGGTCTGGGAAAGTAACATTGGAAACAAAAATAAAACTGTAAACCTGAGCATTCCAGTGAGTAATGCACCATTGCAAACATATGCTAAAAATGATTTAGAACCAGGCAAGTACAATATAACAAAATACTGTTTTACAATTCCAATAACAATAAAGTGACTTCTGTTTTAAAATACTAAATACATTACAACATGGGGGCACACTCAAAAATGAAAGTAAGTGCTAAACATTGAGCCCTACAACAGCAAGTAGAATAGCAATGGAAAAATCTAGCCAAAAAAGTAGAGATAGGATAGATATTTAGGGAAGTGCAGTAATAGGTTCAGGATCCTATGAAATTTTGCAAGTAAAAGAATGCCTTTTAGCCCATCTAGTTTGTTTGAGTACTAGTAGCTGACTGATGTACAGTACGGTTCTCGTCTAGCAGTTTCTTAAACAACAACAGGTTATCATTCTCAACAGTATGGCTAGGAGGCATGTAGCAGAACCCGACAATCTCTTGTGTAAGCAGTTGCCTCATGTTCTCCATTATAAATCCACCACCCAGTATCTTCCACTGGTGTCTTTCAGTTCATGTATCACTGTTGATTTTGAAAATGTCCTTTGCATTTACTCCAGTGTCAGTGGCTTTGAAAAATGTGGATGCTTAAATCACATATCCTTTGCCTTCCTCAGTGTAATGGTATTGAATTCCACCTATGTGATCACCTGAGTGAAATATTTTGTACATCTGGTACTTATTTTTCTTTATCTAAAAGTACCCCACATTTATTTATGAGTGTCTTTACTTCATCCTTTTTCCATTCTTTCAGTGTTGTAGTCTTGTGAAAAACATCTATTGTTTATTTTAATTTCCATTTAAATGTTATTTTCTGTCTCTCTATCGGCCTTTTTGATATCATTCCTGTGCAATGATCAATGATCTGATCATTTCATCTATGTTTATCTTCCTTTTCTGGTTACCAGGACAACAGACTGAGATCAGAAACTACTGTCTAATGGGTCCTCACAAAGAGAGGGCAAAAACCATGATCTAGGCTACAGTATATTTGTACCATTTTCTCATACACCATGATAGTCACTTACTGCGTGGCACAAGCTGAACTTCAATGAAAATCGGCTACAAAAATGATCTCAGCCCAATCAAACAAATCTTAAGATTCCTGTATGAATATGATATACTGTATGATCCATAAGGTTCAGGAAACATGGAAAAACAACTAAATAAAATATTAACTTGTCTTCATATATTTGAAAGTAACAACTAAAGGCAGCTATAGAAACTGTTGGTCATAAATTCTTCAAACAAGTCAAAATGCTACATAATAATAATCATTTGGCAGGAGAGGGATGGAATATAGTTTTTTTCTTTTTCCTGGGGCACAACACTCATAAATGTGAAAAAAGTAAAGATCACTGTATCTGAGATTCAGACTGATAACATATTCTGGAGAAAATCAGAAACAAATGACAATCATCTGTCTTCTTCAGAGACAAAGAGTCTTTATTGGTAAATGAATGGTCATAATTGTACATGAAATACCCCCCCCCCATACACACACCTAAAGTTTACTACCTTGTTAGATCACACTGACCTCAAAAATACTTAATATGATCAATAACAGATAAGGCAATGAAAATCAAGGTAATTGCTGTAACATACTGAGGCAAACCATTATAAAATGATAAATGCTATGTACACTATATTTGTAAAAGTAAAACTTCAGAAGATTTCCTGGCTGTAGTGCAGAAGAAGATTAAATACCTGTCTGCTGCCATGTTATTGTGATTTTGTTGTTATCGTTTTACACAAGAAAAGCCTGTGGGCATAACTTATTATCACAGAAGCTCAACTCAACCCATTCTTCAGAAGAAGAGCAAATATCTTGGAAAACTATTTGCAGGGTAGTGATTCAACACAAGAACTGTGTAACTTCCTCTTATGGTACAATGTTGTTAAAAAGTGAGAGATAATTAATATTCTCTTCTGCAATTCCTGGCAAATACTGTACCTGTTCTTGAAATACACCAAAAACCTGAAAAATATACTTTGCAAGACACTGACTGCTTTTGATATTAGTCAACATTAAGTATTCCCTCACCATCCATTCCTCATGGCTGATATCTTTGGCTTAATATACATAAAATAGAATTATAAATCTATGTAGATGGTCCTGCTTTTCAGCCATGTGAACTAATTAATATTCATGCCTATAATTTATAGTGACTGCTAGATGCTAATGTACAATAACTGGAACTGTTTGTGAGCCATATATTTTTACTGTGGGTGATGATCATATTTATAAGGTATCATCTTCTCTTGATGTTTTCCAACAAAATAATTCTACTTGTTGAATTTGGAATAGCCCCTTACTATATATCACTATTAGAGACCATAAAACTACTAGAACATTTATCACAGTGACGATATTGAAACAAGAGTTAAATATGATTGTATCTTTATTACTGAAGAATGAAGTGTTGCAGTTCAGCTCCCAGTTGTGCCTCTGTTGTGGCTGTAATGTTATATTAGCAAGATAGCCAGATAACTATTAGCCAGATAACTAAGGGGTTGCAGGACAGCTTTGATAGAGTTTGCTCAGCATC